CACCAGGCCGGCTCTTGCTTCGGACTAGCTAAGTCTTGAGAGGCGCCGGTACCACACAACTGAAGGCAAAGGCTTCTATACACAAGCGGGATTCCCACACTATGTGCTGCCGGGTTCTCTGCTCGTGTGATGTCGGGGTTGTGGTCAACGGGTTGCTCTCGTTCCGACTGTGTGCTTGCCCCGATTCCTTTGCTGGCTCTTGGTGCCAGTCGCAATCATTTTGCGGTCACGATTACTCGCATTGCAGCTGCAGGTCATGACACTGTACGTCAGCACGACGGAAGACGAGCATGGGATAGCAGCCCAACTGCAGCCGTGCGGAAAGATTGAATCACCGCTTATGGCAGTCACCACCCTAGTACGTCTCGACCGAAAGCCAAATCCAGCCTGAGAGCACGTCTCTCTCAGTTCAGCAGCAGCCCTCTCCAATGATCCCAGCTTCAATTGTGCCTGTCACAGTCTGGAAACCGAACAAAAGACACATTTCGCGAGTTGGAAGGATTTTGGGATCCTCGGCTTGCCAGGTCTCGAGCGCATGCACCTGACCACCTCTCCAAGTTGCTTGGGAGACTGAAGCCAAAGGGCCGAGCAGGGAAAGCAAAGCACCCGACCGGCTGCGGCGGATGCAACAGCTGCAGCTTGTGCATCACGTAACAGCTTCTCTGAAACCTGCTTGAATGGGAAGCAGTTAACGCATGCAAGCGAAGTAGTAGTTCTTCACTCCGAAACACCGACCATGCTGGCCTGTGCCATTTGAGTCATCTTCTCGCTCAGTTGCAAAACCTTGTTTGTCTGCCAAACCGAAACGAGGTACAATTACCGCAACAATAGCTGCAGGAGGCGAGCCTTCGTATCACCCTGGCTGGACGACTCCTGTTCACTGCAAGCACTGGCAGACAACCTCAAGCCGCCGCCAAGTCTCGAAACCCTGCGCCTCTAGCAGTGCATGCTTCTGCTCGGCAGTGGCCAATCTGTCCCTGCAATGCAACAATCTTGGTCATCTGGTGTTTTCCTTTGCATATGTTTTTCTGCTTCACCCACGGCTCTCTGCTGATTGCTTGCCTTGCCTCTCGTGGGGTCTCTGGACGACGATGGGGTTCATGAACTATGAGCTAGGACATGTTGTTGATGCTCCATCGTTCGGGGCCTGAATTTTACAAGTTCCGGAGAGGGTTCTGAAGCCGCGGCGCTTGACTTTTAAGGGAAAGCCTCCTGAGGTTTCGGCCGATGGATTTGTGTCCAGACATGGGGGCAGGCCGCAACGATGTCCTCATTTTTCCTCATTCTCCCTAAGAACTGAACCATTCCCCAGTCCCCTGCCCAGCCCCTTCGGGAAAGCATGGAAAAATACATAACAACGATGACGAATAAGACAGACTAGGAAACATGTGTAAACAGAGCAAGAAAACTAGGAACAATGGTAGGGAAAAGTATGACAAGCATGGCCTGCGACTGCTTTTCATATTTTTTGTCACATGGAGTTCATATATATATATATACATCTGTGTATAGATATATATATATATATANNTATATATATATATTATATGTATTTATTTATATTTTATTTATGCTGTTTTCATGCTTCCCCGGCAGACCCGTAATCCTAGTCATATGTTGTTCGTTTGTCACACTTGTTTATTATTTCTCCATGTGTCGTTCATATAATAATATTCATATGATTTCTGTATAACTTACGCAATTTTTCTTCATGTTCACTTCACGAATTTGCACATGGGAGGGATGGCTGCGCCTACTTGCTGCTTCTTCTTGCGGGTAGGGGATTGGGGGGGGGGGGGGGATGAGGTCTGTGTTTACACTATGTCACTATGCTACTCTGCCGGTGATGTTTGCATGGTGATGGATGACATCGACTCTACTCTCATGGTCACATCCTCAC